CTTTAGTTACTGTCTATGGTAACTCACATCTCCTTTAGTTTTTTATTTTAGGATTGTAGGAACTGGGCTCTACTTGTGGAGCTAAAGCTTCCACTTAGCATTTTTAATCGTCAAATATATGAAGTTCAATCTGTTATGGCGTTTTTAAGTAAATAAAAGCTCTGTAGTTAACTGTTTAGATCATTAATAAATTTGAAAAGAATAATCCATTTATTTGTTTATTCTGAATTTTTAGAACGGGAAAGAAGAAGGAAATTCAGTCTGCTACCCAAATATGAAAGGAAAATATCTCTATTGAAAAATAGGTTTTCTTAAAAGCCATTTTCAGCTTTCTCTAGACAAACTTGCTTGACTGAAGTTTTATTCAAAAAGTCGTAAATCCTTACAACGATTTAAATTAATTTTTCTATGACTTACAAATAACTTAGATCTTCTGATATATTTTAATGCAAGATGGAGATGATGTACATATTGCACTGACGAAACCATGACAGGCAAACAATCACGCGAGATATATTTGGCAATTAAAGAAAAATCATTGAAAAATTAATTCTAACCAAAGTTATTGACAGTTACAAGTTTAAATAGCTCCCTTTATATTAGTAAATTTCAAGAGAGTTCAGGAATAAAATATATTTCCTTATCTTTCACCAAAACACACAAAGAATCGTACATGAGTGCACATATGTACACATACATGTAGTTCGAAAATAGCTTTATCAACGCATTTTCATGAGCGCCAAAATCCGCGCGCCCATCATCTATGTACGCGCCAAAACCATTGTTTTGGGTGGTAGACTATTGGGGGACGCCTACTTTCGGCGACTGGACTGGTTTTTAGGCGCGAATATTGGCCGGTCAATGCGTAACGAATCGATAGTTCGTTCAACGACTGCTGGAGCACATGTGCATACACACATTTTTCAAGCACCAATACATACATACAAACATATGTTTGAGGCAGCATGAATATTTTCGAACAACAACTTGTTGTACGTTGAGCTGCACGAATGGGTGGCTGGCTCAATGCACGGTGTGAAGGGACAGTAACCCATATCGGCATAGCAGACGAAACGACCGTTAAAAACTCTGCCAGCAAACATGGTCACACACAGATACATTTATGTATGGTATGTGCATTCATACACACAGGCGCAAGCGAATACATTTATATATGTGTCTGTGATTTCTCGCCTCAACACTATACAAACACAGAACATACGCGCGTCGACAACAATAGCAACAATTGGTGTTTCAGCAGCACCAGCAGCGACGGCAGCAATAACAATAGTTGCCTCCACCCATACGTGTGGCAGATATGCACTGCGCTGTATTGGTGTTTGTAAGCGCGCGCTCGGTCACCCGCTCAATATCAAATATACTTTATTATATAAATACATACACAAATATGTATGATACAAATGTATATCTAATTTTTGAGCAAAGCACAGCGAAACGGAGCTCATAACAATCACAACCACATTTATCAACAAAAAAAAAAACGATAAATTAGACGGCAACTATATGAAAATTCCCTAAACCAAGAGCATGTAGGGGAGGGTCAGGAGAAAGCGGAATATAGTATCATATATGTAGTATAGCCAAAATACCTTAGACGACTATATACAATAAAGTAATTCCAACAGATTTTTTATTAAATTCTTTGAGGTCTACCAACTAACAAATCGGAATGTAACCCCGATATGTTTTAATATTTGCAAGCTCTACTATTTTTAGAGAAAGTCTAACCCATGGAGCTTAATTGACTAACAATTGTCATTAACAGATTCAAAAGCTTTAAGTAATCCTTAAAAAAAGGCCAATCTAACAACCTGACAGGTTGAAAGGTTAGCTGGTCCGCTCAGCTAAGCTAAGCGATGATGATCCATAATAGCATATTTAAGGACCAAGTCCACAACGGGGCTACAAACCGATATGACAACTATGAAAAAGAAGCAAGATAAATATATGCATATATACTATATATATTTAGTTTTTTCTGGATCAAGTTGACAAGATTTAGGTCAACCTAAAACGTAGATGAACGCGTGGAAAAAGTCGTTTTCATTTTATCTGATGCCGTTACCTAAAACAAATTTACCTAGCGCAATATGCTGCGCTTGGTATGAAAGCGCCAAGCAACGCGGCTGACTCGTGCGGCTCAAAGCGACACAGCGCCGCTCAATAAAGCCAGCAACGTCTATGGAAGCGACAGCGTCGCAAACAAGTTGAGCCAAAACGTAAATCTATCTGACAGCTCAAATAACAACAAACAATTGTTGCATGTTACGTGCGCTAAGGTGGATGGGTGGGCGCGGCAAGCGGCAGCGCTCAAAACACTTTATGGTGGTTTTGCTGCGCGGCGCTGCGCTCTGCTGTCGCGCCATATATCTGTGGGTTGGCAGTGCGCTATTGCTTGTCTGCCACTTCTGCCACCGACTATGTTGTTGTATGTTAGGCAAAGCGTGATGCCATATAACAGAATAACAGAGAACATGGCAAACGCCACCAACAACAACAAGAATATAGTCATTAACAATAAGAACGGGGAAGAAATTTTGTCCGTTACGAAATACACCACTACAACCATCGGCGCTGCCTTGTTGAGCCGTTGAGCCAAGCAAGCATATTGAGCGCATCACACACTCACGCTTTTGTATATACCCTGCGCAATGCGGCAGACACGCAGAGATACACCAATACACATGCGCGCCATACGTCATTTTGACAGCGTGCAAAGTTCTGGTTTTTGTGTCGGTGTGTTTCGCGCGCGCCACACACTATGGCCATGGCACCAATTCTCGCTATTGTTGTTGCTAGTAACGCTCGATTTGTTGGTGTTATGTTGTGTATGTTGCGATACATAAGTATTGTTTTTATGTTTAAGTTGACTGCTGTTGAGGGGAGTTAGAAATGCCTGCCGCCTTTTTTTGCACACTCCTCAAATTGAGCTATGCTCGTACATACATACAAATGTTGAGCACCACTGCCCACCAACGCGTCAGCTGGTGTGTCGCCCTCATAGTGATGGCGGTTACAATTTGGTTGTTAGAGCGCAACATTTTGGAAGGTGTGTGTGTGTGTACTTCGGGCTTGGCGGCAATCTGTTATGGGCATGCAGTATGTGGTGTATATGTGTACTGATATGGAATTAACGAACTGTTCCAAATCAGTTGAACTCATATCTTCATGCATTCGTCAAACAGCACGGAAAGATTAAATAGTTTTTAATATTGTCAAATGAGAATTTCTATATTCTTCTAAATTCCATATATATTGTAGAAAATTTTAACGCACAGGGGTTTGCTAAAGGTTTAGTACAGCTTCTTCTAGTAGTATCCTATACTAACAGTTAAGTTTCCACTTTCTTCAAATTATGAAAATTTTCCATTATTTGTGATTGAAATTGGTCAAAAAATTTACACGCGCTCATAACTCTCATTAACTGATTGACTGATATATGTACTTCATTTTGATGACTGCTGATAAATGACGATTACGAGAATATATGTATATCAATAAAGAAATAATAGTGGCATTGCTTGCCACGGAGTAACTACCATAGAAAAATCATATAAGAAGCATTGTTAGTAAACAGTAAGAATTGGGGATCAAAATAAGTTCCTACGGAATATTTTTACGGTCCCCTAACTCTTACACCACGACCACCGCCTTTTAAATGTGGCTCTTTCAATATACTCGTTTCTCGAAGTGTATTTTCCTTCAGAAGTAGTATATTTACTACGGCAGATAACTATACGATTTTTAAGTTGGTTTCATCTGAAAATTTCAATATCATATTTTTTATAAATTCTTTTTAATTAATTTTAACTTGTTTTGTTAACCAATAAATATAATAAGATAAAAAAAAAATCGGTTAAATATTTTTTTTTTTTTAATCGGTAGCCTAATATACCAATTCCTTTACGAATTTTTAATTTTCATTTTTTAATCCCGATATTAGGATATTTATTTCATTCAAAGTTTTTCAATTAAAAAATCAGATTTTTATTTTTGAATCCCGATAAATATTTAAAATTAAATTTTAATTTTTTAATCCCAGATGTTTGGGATTAAAAATTGAAGGCATTACTTTTTGATTTGCATGAACTCGAAACAATATTAATTCTAAAGCAATTGTTTTTTAATACTTAATTATATGCTTAAGATTGAAATTTTTCTTTTTTATTTTTCAATCCGGTTGTTGGGATTAAAAATTAAAATACATTTTTAACTCGATTTTTGGGATTAGCATTCTTTTTTATGTTTTAATCCGCTTTGTGGGAATAAAATTATTTATTATATTTTGGGATTTCAAAATAAAAAAATTGTATTTTAAATGTTATTTAAAAAAATTTTTAATGCATTATTTGCAACCCTGTTTACATGTACGAATAACAATATTTATCTCATTAGTAGACTATATTACGGAGCCTATTCTTAAGCTATAAAATTCTATATCTTAGATCTCCCAGTAAAACAACTAGAAGTATGAAATTTTATCATATATAATTTTGTATACTTACATAGAATGTAGTTATTTAGGTAAGTGATTAAATTGAGAGATTTGTTCATTAAGACTAACTTTCATCCAAACCAAAAAAAAAAAAACATGAGCCAGACCGTATTATAGGAGCACACTAATAAAAATGATCGTAAATTCCAAATTTCTAGCTACTTTTTTCTCTGCCTTGGCTTTGTTGAATTGTCGTCGAATAACGTCTTTTAATTTTTCAGAAAAAAATACGATAATGAATATAATTTTTAATTTCTCTAAGAGGTTTCCATTTATTTAAGAAGGTTTGGAAAATTTTGTTCTTTTTTTTTTGTCAATAGTATAACATAATAATTTTATGTAGTCGTGCTGCATAGCAAAATATCTCTGAGCGTGAAAACTCCCATTTCTAAAGTTCATTTGAGTTTATACAATAACCAGGGAGTTATGATTTAAAAATCACTTTCATTCTTTGTGAATTTTGTCATTCCATAGTTTTTCCACACAGGAATAACGAGCGGATCCTGTATAAAAATTCTCTTCTTATAATTTGTGACATATAGACAATTGCAATTCGACACTCCCACGAACATCATTTTTGGTATTTACCAATTTAAGGCGATCCTTCGTGCTGCCTTTCTGATCTTTTTTGTGCTGATTTCCTGCTCAATAATTCAACTGAAATTGAAAAAAAACACTGCAGATGAATTGCTAATGATTTTCCGCTTCTTGGCCGATTCTAACGTTGCAAGGACGTGCGTTAGCGGTGTTGTTGTTGGTGGTGGTGCGACTCTGTGCTGGCCTTTCTTTCTGCAGATATTTACTTTCTGGTTTACTTTTCATTAATTTTTGATTTTTTTGTGCGTCTATCTACAGTTTTTTGATCCACAGACCACCAATACGTGGCTGCTTACCGCTCCTTAAATCTCAGCCCCCTCGCCGTAACAAACAATATGCTTGCAACGAAAAAAATAATAAATAATAAAAAAATATACGGCCGAGATTCGAGCGCAAGATCAGCACACGTACACATGGAGATCGACAGGTCTTTAAGGTCTATAGTGGTTACATAGAAGAGTGGTGAGAATCGAGCAAGCAATTTGGTAGTGCGCACACAACCAGCTGATTGCAGGTGGATGCGCTATTGTGTAATAATACTTGTATGTCCATTGAATTGCTACACCCCTCAACACTTGAGGATTACCCAAGAAGATCAACAGTCGAATGGACCGTGTGACTTTCTGCGATCGGAGTGCACGAGCAAAGCAGCTAACAACAATGACTGGTAAACCAGCTGATCCCGCTGATGATGATGACTTTTCTAATGTAAGTCCATGCACTATTAGAGTTTTTTGTGCTATTTTCGTTTATATTTTTTTTTTGCTTCTTCGCCTTTTTTTTGTGTTTTTCGCCTTTCGGTGCACTGACAGGTCTCCTGCAAAGCCAAGCGTGGAAGTGTGCGACTGCTTCCCATAGTGTCTGTTGAACGTCTTAAAGAAAAAATGCGAGCCAAACAGCTGATTGCTGTAAGATTTTCCCAGCTTCAAGGCATACGAAGTTGTTACGCACTGTCAACAGGACACGAAGAGACTTTATTGCTAGGTTTGTCCTATTATTCTGCCTTTTCTTGAACTACTTACGATGTTTTTTTTTGTTATTTTCTTTATTCCTGTGGCTGTGAACCATAAATACAGATCGGAAATATGAGTTCTAGTTTGACTAACTGCACAGCAGCTCTTGCTTTACTGTTGTTGTTGGCCAAGTGCAGAAAGAGAAGTGTCAACCTGCCAAAGGACAACACGACAAACATATGTTTCGATGTGCGTACGTATGTGCGGGCATAAATAATTGGCATGAGAACTAGTCGACTTTTCTCGGGCAGGTTGTCGAGAGTACTTCTGACGACTTTCCTTACAGTTTTGTCACCCGCACAGCTGATTGCTGTTGGCCTGTTCCAGCTCCATCTTACATTTCGGGCAGATTTCAGTTAGTCTTTCTTGTTTTTGTTTTTGCTTTTGCATTTTTCTTTCGCCGCCGATAGGCTAACTGTAAAGTGCACAACAGGATACTCAAATTCAATGGTTGTCACAACGGTGCAGCCACTTAAAGTATTAATTGCCCATTCTACTTGGCACTCAAACGCTCGGCGGGACCAGACAGAAAGTATTTAGCAATCAAAGTGCTGGGAAAGTGCCATGCTGCTGCGTCAAGCTATCTAAGTGCATACTAGGAAAAGTCAAAATGTCTGTAAATTTTTGCCTTGTTTTTGTTATTGTGCCCATTGAAAGTATCGTGTGTCAATCGCGCCGACTATTTTCCCCACACTCTACAGTTAAGTCCATATTTATTTTGACCAACATTTATCAACCGAAATCGTTATATACATACACATATATTCACATATACATATATTATATATATATTATATGTAAGGCAAAGTAGTCTCCCAAACATATTCTGTTATTTGATTTCATTTTTTTTATTTGGCTCTCCGCCTTTCTCAGGCACTCACCTGTTTATTTATGTGTACTTATTAACGGAAAGTATTTCCAGGAACATGGAGTCAGTGTAATAATCCATTTGTCAAACTCTAATGACATAATCCAGAAATTAAATATCCGTAAAGGGTGCGTCAATTTGTTGAAAGCGCACGGTTTTGAAATATAATATTTTCTATTGTATTGAATATTATCGCAAATGGCAATCGGACCCTAGACTTATTTCTGGAAGTAGTTTTAGTGAAAAAAATTACTTTTGGGCAAAAATTTTATATTTTGATTTCAACTAAATTTTTAATTATAGATTTAATGACGTCTAAACTTTCCACGTAACCAAGTGAAGAAAATTGCGGAATATATTCCTACACAACTCATCTAAAATCCCACTCAACACTTCAAATATTGAGCCAAAATTTTACCAATTCAATTAAACTCAATAATTATTCACGCAAAAGATTTCAACGGGTACAGAAACTACGTCAATTTTATCTAACCTTTTGCTTCATATTCACATTTTCTTAAGAAATTGTTGGTTTCTTTTCGAAATTTTCACGTCGTTGTTGTTGTAGTACCAGCCAATTTTATAAAGCCTAAATAATTTTGAGAAATGCTGTCGAGTTAACAGTCTTTGATTGGATAAAAATGCAGGTTCGCCCAAGTCAAGGTGTATCAGAACCTGTCATGGGAGCAGTTATGACTTCATCGAATCGCAGCTGTCAAAATTCTACTGAAACCTACGATCTCCGAAGTCTATGGACTCAATTTTTGTCAACAAAAAGTCATGTATCTCTCTGAAGATCGTGCTGTGTTGCATATACAGCTTAATTTTTAGCGAAAAATAGGCGAAGAAAATTGCTACCCTTTGAGGATACATTCACTTCCCGAAGATCGCTCGAATAATACTTGCAAACACTTTTGCATATTAATGCTAACTTGATACTTACTTTGATTATAACGGGACAGTACTATCTTACCACCAAATATTATGTTTTTTAACACTTTTAATGGGGCAACTCTTTAAGAGACATCATAAATATTATTAAGTTTTACTACCTGAATTCTGTCTGGATATGGTTTATTATATCTACTCGTTCCTATCGACTAACAATAGTGCTCGAAAAAAATAGAGAGAGTCGCTATTCAAAACACCGTTTATCAAATTGCATAAGACTCAAACTGTAATTAGATTCTCAACTATTTCGCCTTAAGCGACTTCTTCCGGCATTCACCATAACGGTTGTCTGGAAGCACTTTTCAGCATAGAAAATTCTATCATGAAATTGCTTTCTTCATTTGAAATTGTTTCTTACTATGAAGCTACACGCACAATCGCAATAATATAATATTAACCAATCTGAGCACGTCAAATGAGAAAAGCTGGCGATTCTCTATTGACCTCAGTTTTTGGTCTATGTTAATAAAACATATGAAACCACACCCTGTATGCGACCAAATTATTTGATTGCTCGCCACTTGTGTTCACAGGAGTGGTAGCTGCATTTACTCGTCTTCAATGCACATTTTTTTCATTAATAATGTCACCGAAATTCCATTCACATCAAACCACATGCACACATATTGGATATTGGCTAACAATTCCAGGAATCCCGCCAACGTCCAAACACAAGTGACACATTTATCAGCGGATTTTCGATTAGCTAGATTTCTCGCCCGAAGTTATTAGGATTGTCAAGGAGCGATGAGGATCGTATGAGCCGCCTTGATCTCAACCGCTAGGCCGATTAAATCAACCATCTTATCATCTATGTATATACCCATGTGTGTAATTATTTGCCAACAGAATTTAGGCATATATCGATACAAATACCAAATAGTACAAATATGTATGTGTATACATAAATATCTCGCTCAGAGATAAGCCTGAAAGGATTTTTTTCTTACTTGTTTGACATGCTAGATGGTCGGTATGTCGCTTGTTGTTGCCCCAATTCCACTATGTGGCATTTAATCAAACTCATTCATAAATTGGCGGGATATACGCCACCTAGCCCGCACAATAATGCACGGCTATAACAGGTACATCATACCAACCGATTGCTGCACTTGTACGCCGTGTCTTCGACATCGTCTCCACCGAGCAAAGTGCGCACACCCGCCGAAGACAATGATTTTCTTTCAGTTAAGTGTTGATATTGCTTGTCTATTGTTGTTATTATTATTACTGCCGTTGTTGCCTATTATCCTGCGCATATCTTGCAACGCATTTGAAAGACACACAAACAACAAACGTAGCGAACGATTGTTATAGCGCGTCCGTGTGCCAACGAGCCATGGGAAAGTCGGTTGGAGCGACTTTGTGTGTGCTGCACTTGAAAGGATTTCCAAGAAATCTCAACTCAAATGTACGAAATAACCATGAATGGTTAATTTTTTCTCCACTTCTTACAATGCCGAAAACCGCTGGTTGCAGGCGACGTAAAAAAATACCCGAAATTGATAAGTTCCACTGCCTCGCCGTCGTCGTTGTCGAGCTTCATTTTACTGCCTTCGCTCTTGTTAATCACACTGCTGCAGCCTCTGATGCTCTTGCAATGCCTTGGACTGCGTCAACGAGATCGCCAGCCGCTGCAGTCTCACTTGATCATCATAAACCGTTCAGTCTCAGCACACACGTCGCTTCGTCCTCAATGTTGCCCGTCGTGCGGCCGCTAAGTAAACATTGAAGAAATTCCACGAATTTCGTGTTTTTGTGGGCACGAAAAAGCGCGCCAAAAATCTCGCTGCTGCGCAAAGTGGAGCCATGAGAAAATAAGGAAGAAGGTAGCACTCTAGTCAACCACATACAGCTCTAATTCTTTGTGCGCACACATAATATATGGCATGTGTCTGTAGCACATAGCGCTGATATAATATATATGTTATCATTGGTTTGTTGCGCAAGTTCCTGCGGTGCGACATGTTGCCTTAAATCGTCTTTCAATACGGTTTCACTGATAACATGCCAATAAATTGAAAAAAAAAGAAGAAACATTAAAGACATATCGCCTTGGCACGTCAGCTAGCTGTCATTTGCCATTGAATTTTTTGTCTAAAAACTCTCCAATTATCCTTGGGCACTTCACTACATTCCGCTTCATTGCCTCTGCGGTCTCTAGTGTTATGCAAATTCACTCAAGTGACTCAAATTGAGGTTCCGGTAGTACAAGGAAGCGAAACTACAGAAACAAATCCAAGTGTGATTATCCTGTTTGCTTTGGGCTGGGAATATGTCTTAAGCATTGAACTTTTTTGCAAGAAATGAGAGCAAATATTTGTGATATGGCAATTATGAAAATAAAATTCACACAGTACGCAAATATTGCAAAGATCTAAAATAATGTTTTTCTCAAATATTGAAATCGAAAACCAAAAACACAATAATATTGAACTAGCCGAATAAAACAGGCTGAATTGAACTTTAAGCAGTTATTACAGGCGAAGTTTGTTTAAATAACGAGAATATAAAAAATCTGTCACCTTGCATGTGAACTTTTTCGCTAATGGATCCAAATTAAAAATATGGAAGTATAATGAGATCATAAGGTAAATTTATTCCGACGTCTGCCTTGGAATATGCGACCACAAGGATGAATGTAAAATACATTAGGAAAAACAATTATTGACGAATTGGAATGAATCAATGAACTACATTATAGTTTTTCCTTTTATTCTATAATATCCGTCGTAGGCCAACAACACTTGTTTTACTGCACATGATCTTATTTCCGCTGCGTTTCGCCATTCTACAGCAACTCTCATCAAAATCAAATATTTGCACAGGTTCGAGTGGTCAATTCGTGGTTAAAGTAAAACGGCACTTTTCCCTCTTGGTACACATTGAGGGGACAGTCAAATTTGAATAAATATTTAGAAAAATTCTTGCACAATGTACACAAATAACGGAAATTACATATTTATAGGCGTATAGTGGCGCAATTTTGCTTTCTCTCGAAGGAAGTATTGAATCCCGTTATTGTCTATTAATGTATGTGTGCTCGTATATCTTGGTAGACTACATCCTTCCTGCGGAATTTCCGCTTAATGCGCGTTTACACAACTTTAGTTGTACATTAATTTCCGGTAAAGAAATTTTATGTAAATAGTTTTTAGGATAACTTATGGTAGACACCTAACGCATGTATTGTACAGGCATATAGGTACATACATATATAATAGACGCCCGTCTTTATATTAAATTCTATTTTTCAAATATTCCTTGACATATGTATATGCATACATGTTGTTTAAAATATATCTGAAGTAAAGTAGAAATAACCAGAAATATGCTCTATGCTTCGCTATTTCGACCTAACTATACTGGATTTCCACACATATTCGTAAATAATAATCTGCGAAACGGCATAGAACAATATATTTCGCTTTTATGCTATATGCAATATTTCGTTGCCCCGATGTCTATCTAAAATCGTTTTTCAAATTTAAAATATTTAGGACAACTTCTGTTTAGTCAATATATTCCTTCTTCTCGAAGTGACAAATTTCATTTTCGGACAGCTCTTTTAGAAATATACAAACTTAGTATAATTTCTCAAGCTTTTGATATAGTTATCCTAAAAATTTGAAGTTTATAGGAAGCATATTTACATGTATTCATCAACTTTTATAAAAAATAAATATTTGAGCTTTTGAAAATTATTTAATAGTAATACTATTCTGGTAGCCATACCATATTTTGGATAATACAGGTATAGAATTTTAAGATAGAAAAAGCTTCGAAGTATTTTAAAAAATTTGAGTTCAAAAGAATTCAACTTTACTAATTTATGAATGCATATCTTTCAAATATCCTTAGAAATATTAAAGAATTGAAATTGTGATGAAGTTAACACACGCACAGTCGCTAAGCTGACGTCACTAAAACACTGATATGTGACGTCACTAAAACACACACATTATTTTTAAAAACAACAGACAAATACATATATTACTGGATTCTATAAATCAGTCTAAGTTTTAAGTTTGTGAAGTAGTACTTTGAGCAATAAAAAATTGTTTATCCCATTCTCTATCGGTCTCCCCAGTGATTTTTATCTTTCAAGTGAAATTACTAGCAAATAATTCTAATAATTTACTTCTTTCTTGATTTTCAATATATATTTGTTCAACGATCAACACGTGGCTTACAATAGCAGACCTAATGGGTATCATGAAATATTGCAAAATCGTCGCCAGGACTATGATATGATCAAAATTAGCATTTATGAAGTGGAAAGATTGTTAGTAATTGAACGGATGAAAGTGTCTCAATTGTGCTGCTGCGCTGACAGCTTGTCTAAATTATTGCCATTTTTAGGCTACTTAATATGCATGCTTCAACTTGGCCCTGAAATGAAGTTCATACAATTTAAATTATGGACGTTAAGTTTTTTATATGAATAATACTAGATTGGCCAGATTTTTCGAAATTGTGCAGCTCCTCATAATTGGTTAACACAGCAGGCCGTTAAATCACTCTTTTCCATCTACCGCAAGATTAGAAAAGATCCTTTCGGCGGCAGCGCAGACTTCACTTAAAATTCAAAACTCACATTAAAAATATATTTTCATACTTGCGCGGAGATTTTTTGTGATCAAAATCGATCTAAGCTGGTTATTTCTACTGAAGTCAGTACCTATCAAGTGCAAACCAGATCAGACGATGTCACGTAGCAATGCGACAACTACGAAAAATCTGTCAACGCACACACAACACATATTACAGGTATGTATATAAATATATGTATGTATGTATGTTAGATATCCGTCATTACTATCTGATATTGTTTTTATTATTTTCATTTTTCAGTGGCATGCATTACATAAATAATTTCAAATCAACACTCTCGTTTTTAGATTTGATAAATGGATCCTGTCATTCACATGTTGCAACAATTCCACAAAATTAGTATTCAAAATTACGGTTTAGTGTTTCCTTACTTTTCCTAGGTGCATACAGTAACAGATTATAACCAAATTATATGTACAGTGCCGATAAAAAATAGCAGCGTGGTAAAATACTTGATATTTGTTATTAGAAATGTTTGAGGGGTATTTTAACTACTTATTCTGGAACACACAGAAGGGTTGGCTTTCAGGAAGGTTTTAGAGAAATTTGGCAGCTTTGACCAATAGGAGAGGAATTGTCTTGCATCATGTCATAGTGACTTCCCAATACCGCCGGGAGCTTTGTCGCGAGCTCTTCATGCATTATCTTTATTTTTCGAACATGGTACCAATCGATTACTATTAAAAATTCCCTTCAAGAGAAGCTTAAGAAAATCGTCTGTCCTAGTTTTAAGCCTACAGAGACGAGGATTTCTATGGTAGTGGCATTATGAAATTACCTTGTATATTACTTACAATTTAATGCAAAAATAAAGAATTTTAATTTACTAAATATATATATATATATATTGAGAGAAAAGCTCCGATTGTTATCCTTTTATATATCTTTTACTTTTTAATAATTTGGCCTTTTTCGTAAAAACTCCGTTTATTTTTTACTTTTCCCAAATATTCTTCACTTAATGCCCATATTTAATTTTTATAAAGAAATGAATTTTATTTTACAAACATCTGGCAACTCGTTTGAGCAAGTAAATTGAGTCGCAGCGACAATCATCTAACAAGATTTCTTTCCCCCCCTCCCTTCAGGCATGTAGAAAAGCATATTTAGAATGGAGAAACATTCAGAGCAGTGGTGCTAGTCAAACTGCGAAAGTTTTGCAAAAAAGCTTAATCTCGACTGATTAGGAGGCCTAAAATTCTGAGATTAGTAAGAAAACTACTGAACTGATTTGTATGAAGATTCACAGAAATATAACCTACACATAAAATCAGGTCATAGGCTATAATTATTACATACATATCGACAGTGTTGCCAACTATCTCAAAATTTAAAATCTGTAAACAGTATGAATCATATACCTATTTAAATATATTTATATTTAGGAAAGAAATTATAAACTTTTTACATATTTAAAATTCGTTTTAGTTTCAGTTATGATCAGGGCCGTAGAAAGAAAATCGGATGCCGGAGAAGATATAGAATGCGGGCCCTCTGGTCCATCAATTGTTGGGAAAAAAAATTTGCAAAAAAATGTTGCCGAGTACCGGGCCACCCTAAGCACTCCGGGTCCGGGAGGATTGGTCCTCGATCTTCCCCCTCTCACGATCACTGGTAATGATTGTTTTATGTAGAGTTTACATTATTTTCGGTTTCCTCACAAACTTTGACCTTAAAAAATGGTAACAAAAATTAAATTCTTTCTTGTGTATTGCGCTTAAGAAGACGATTAGGGTGCCTCAGCTCAGATTGGTCAGGATTTTCGGTTCAAAGTATTTGAAAGGAGAAACAGCTTCCGAAAACTCGTTAGACCATGTCGAATGAAGTATTCATTACGACGAACAAAAAATTAATTCAAAAGTTACTGCATTCAATATTGATATATTCTTAAATTAGTATGAACATGTAAGCCGATTTTAAGTAAGATTTATTAAATTTTTAATTTGTATGTTGTCAGAATGCTATTATTTTTACGCGAACTGTACTATATACACTATAGTGTCATCCGTGTAAACACAAACTAAATAAATAATAAAATATATTCCAGTACCGACTTCGCAATATGTTAACATTTTATATTTTATTTGATAAAATGCCTTTGAATCATTCCTGGAATAAATGCGACAAACAATTACAGACAAATGAGGCAAGGCGACATGCAGCCACTATTCAGTGAACTTCACCGCCAAAGAGGACACCTTCGACTGGAAATGGATTCTTTTTTATTTTAGGTAATATCTACAACAAAAATACAAAACAAACTCATCTCAAACAACACCAATATTTATATAAACACATTTTATTTTCTAATCACGTTCCTGCTATAAATTCTCGACCAAAACGGCAGCACAGCAAACGCTGAGAACCACATAAGCACCTCAGTGACCTGTTGTCGAGTGCGTCGAACGCGCGGACCAGTTTGAGCCCGGCTAACAAGATGTGGCGCGTACCTACTGGCCGCTAATATGGCAGGCAACAAGTGCAAAGAATTCAGTTAAATACTTAATATTATACTATGCATATTTTATATAATAACTTTTATAAATTAAATAATTTCTCATTTTTTATTTCGTTAATTTATGTCTATATACATGTGTGTATATGCGAGTCTTTGCAAGTGATTGTAAAAGGAGTCAAGTATTTAACGCTGCCTAATTTCCTTGTGCCACATAACATTATAATCGGTGGCATATACTTGTAATAATATGGATTTCACATGTGGTGTGAATTTTGCGCTTAAAAGAGGCCGCAAAACACGTTGATAGCCTGAAAGGAATTGGAATTGAAAGCTTTTAAGTTGCCAAGTACACACACACGCGCACACACAAGAGTAGAGGCACACACGTCCGAATGGTCATTAAGTCTCAATGGCAGAATATGTCATGGCAACGAAGGCAAACGCAGCGGTAGAAGACATCGCATATACATATGTACATACGTACATACATATACAAACATATATGTGCATATTTATGTAGAATATATGTTGCAGGCTGAAGCAAATCACTGCAGCCCGGCAGGCAGAGTAATCAAGCGGTACTTATGAAACCGCATTTCAAAGCTAATTTTGTTGGCAAAAACTGAACGCAACAACAAAAGGCAGTCATACAGTCAGACCCAACCGCAACTGCAGCGACAATGCAAAATTACTTCATTCACAACAACAAAAAGGTGCAAGAGGGGAGGAACGACACAAGCGGCTTGGCGACCAATAAAATGTCGTAAGTAAGAGTTAAGAAGCCAATAAAGTGAGTTCAAGTGGGCAGGTAAGGTGCGGCAGGGGTCCTAAAGTTATGCCATCATAGTAATGTGGCATGCATGCCACATATGCTACTCTGCGCCCCGCAAGAACCGTTTCGATTACTTTGATTTACTAAAATATTCCCACAGCACATGTTTAATCATTCACTCAGTGCAGTTATTATTTCAGATGAATTGTCACTTTTATGATTTGTTCTAAAGTATTGTATTATATTGGGTATATTTACTGAAAATTATATTTTTAGAGTCGAAGGTCTGAGGCTAATTATTGCTGTATGGCGATTATATGATCCTGACGCTACTTCTTCCCAATGCAATCATAAAGGCTTTACACTGCAAAAATAACCCGATAAATTATTAGCAACTAACCACAATAGTGAAACCGAGAACCAATGTGTGCTTGTCAAGCTTTATAAAGAAAGTCACGCCTGCACTCAAGATGCAACTCGTATCGAATTTAGTGAATATTTTTCACCCGGCCTTCATGACAATTGGGTATACGTAGTACTACACGTATGAACTATCAGCAAAGGCAGTATACATATCTAGAAAACATATTAGGACATGTGAACCCATCATGTCCCAAAAATTATATTGTAGATTATTACCGCCAGTGCTGCGAATTTTTAATTGAAAAATTTCGGATTAAAAATAGGATATTGATTTTTTTAATGCAATACCACTTTAAAAGTCTTTTACAAATATTTAACAGAATTTGTATGACACCTGGTTTCATTACTCCATCCAAGACACTTAATACGATTTTCGATAATTTGCTGCCACATATTGTTGAAATCACGTTCATTTATTAAAACCGATGCTGTGGCGCTTCCGAGTTGGTCTTCACTAATTTAAGGACCATCTTAGATTCACCATGTCTCAGAGAGTAGCGAATCGAACAAACAATTGAAATACATTCAATATATTGTGCTTACGACTAATGTCAGTGTTTGTGACCCTCACACTTTTTCTTTTGTACAATTTTAATTTTCAGCGGATTTATTGCAAAGAATGGGACTTAAAATGTTTTGGGCACATTTAAGAGCTAAGCTAACTTTCGATTAGAGGTTCCGCGCTTTTCTCGAATAAGATCTTTTGAAGTTCTGAAACAGCTAGATCGTTGTTGGTTGAATCTGTCTGCTTGAACACCTGTACCAATGTTATACTAATTTTTTTTTTTGAATTATCCCCTTTTTAAGTTGGCTTATATTTTTTAAGCGGCTAGTGAATCAAATAAAAGCTGTCTATTGTCAAGTGTTAGAAATGTGTTAATTGTCTACCGGAAAACTCTTTCCTATAATTTTTGAATCGATATTAATGATATTGAGATGTTCCGCAGAAAACAACTTGGCGGCAATGTAGGCCTTCATAATTACCTTCAACACAATGAGTCCTGACAGCTATTTATAATTACTAAATTAATCCATGTTATCCTGATTGAATGCTAGCGTCACATCCGTTGGAAGAACGACTTAATCCCTATTCAGTTCATTCATTTCAGCAAGCCGCAAATTGGCGTAACGCCTGTGTGGTCAAACCAGACAGCACTTGGCAGAACCGTTATATAATTATTTGCGAATAGACAGGAAGACTTCCTCATTATGTTACTGTATCAATAGCTGTCATATTGCTTCTCTAATCTGTCGTCGATTACACCCTCGAGATTTCTGACAATTCCATTACATTATTAACTACCGCACACTTTTTGTTGCCTATTCAACAGATTACTAACAATATAACAATTTTCGTTTTCCGCACATTGTTATTGCATACGGCTTTGTGCAATTATTGACAGTTATAAATCCAACAACTGTGATTTGTTTTCGTGCGCAATCAAGTGTAGCATATCCTGTACTTCCGATCCACGCCTGCGCCGATCGTTTTTGGTGCAAATATATTTAGCCATAGATTCACATATATAAAGGTGTATGGGTGTATGTGGGAAGATCCAAGTATGAAGTATGAGAATTGCGACGGTTATGAGTTCCGAGTACGTGTGGCCTTTTTGCTCACTCATCCGTCCAACTACTTTCATAAATACTCGTATATGTACTCGCTTATTGCTTTATTGTTTACTTTGCTTATAGTTATTTTCTTTGCTGTATATTTCCAATTATTTGCACTTGTACGTGTGTGTTCTTTGTTAAATTTGTACGTTATTCTTACTTTAGCTGTATCTTCTCTTTTTCTTTGTTTTTATTTTTTGTTCATCTTGTCTCGTTCTCCGCCTTTTTTATCCTTCAATGAACACGTTTCATGTGCGTAGGAGTTTTTTTATGTGTTTGTTGCCTTCGTTAATCACTTGTGGCATGATCACTTGTTATGCCACACAACAAGCTCTTATGCATACACTTCTTTATACAAGTATATGTATGTTGAAGCAAAGGCCCGTAATAAAAGAAGTCTTTGCTGGTTATATTTCACCAGTTCATGTGTTACACAATCAAGTTAATCAATATGTTGCAGATCTTTGTTGCAAACACGTTCAAATTGTTTTATGATCCAAGGGTGGGGCTGACAGAATATATACCATCTATACTATATTCGGCAGGCAATTTGTTCTGCTTATCTTAACTACATATATATTATATATAATATATAATATATAGGACATCAAAGGGGAGAAATACTTAAAAATAATGAACTGATTTGAACAAAAACCGCGCAAACTCTACACACTTTTGAAATGGAACACTGTATTCGTTTGAAATTTTTATCGATCATCGAATTTTTATAGTTTATAATGGTGTTTTCACATTTTTTTCGAGCAGCTATGATCTCTTAGCATACAATATCTTATAAAGGCAAGCATGATTTCTAGGAATTGAATTCCCAAGCATTCGTAGAGAGCCTTCATTATCATTGAAGGGCAGGTATATAATTTCGTAAAATATTATTTGAGTACTGCCAGTACTTCGAACCAAGGAACTCTTTACACCATATTTTACAATATTACCTTTTAAAGATGCTGGGCTACAAATGACTTTTATTAGTAGCTTAGACATCAGAAAAGTAATATATTTGTTGATAACAGATCTCAGAACACGAGCCTGTAACAGCCATGCATAGTTAACCTTAACTATAAAACAATGGAAAGCAAATGGTCTTCACTCCAAACGATGACCTGAAGGCGAAGATGGTATAACTTTATCATCAGCGAGAAGGAAACTCCCACGGATTTGCCCCGGAACTAGGCTCGGCTGAAGAAGACCAATCACATATAAATCTTAAACGTCTCGAATATGGAAACCGAAAGGTTATAAATATGTTCCAACTAGCCACTGCGGAATAGAGTTCGCTTAGTTACAGCTGAAAGGCAGCTAAAATATTTTCAAAGTTTAGTCTCATACAAGTTATTATGATTATTATTCCTTTATTCAATATTTCGCATATCTATGAACTTCTGCACTCATACATGCATATGTATGTACATATGTGCAAGCATTCTCCATCCTTTCGCTGCGACTACAAACCTGTGCGTTGCTGAAAATGCAGAAATTTTGGCGCCAAAATGCAATGCCCGCCAAACCAGTCGCTTGCCGCTCTTCTTTTAATACTTTTATTGCCTTTTTAACAGCAAATTTGTTATTTTTTATCTTTATTTGTTTCTCCACTTTTCAACTCACTCACGCATGCGCGCCTGTCGCAAGTATGGTGGCGCTCTTTCGCAGCATTGCTGTGATTTGCCTCTTGAGTGGATTTCTGTCGTGGAGTACGCACGAAGACCGGACGAGGCTCGAGCCAATCTTTATTTGATTTTATTTTTTCGTCTTTTTGATTTTGTTTTATTTATTTTTAGATGTTCGTCAGCTGATTACATATCAGCGAAACGATCGCGTTTTTTATTTTTCAATGAGCTGAAATATTTTATGTGTGTAGACATACATACTTGTACATACATATGTACATATCATATATTATATATGTGTAAGTCATATATGTAGATGAAGATATTTATTTGCTTTTCTTTTTGGTGTGAAAGTAAGGGATAGTGCAGTGGATAGGAGGTATACTGCAATCTTGTTAACACTTTTTTTTTAATTTTTTATTGCTCGTCATGATGTTACGACCAGCTGATTCGAATATATATGGCTTTAAACTAAATATCTGATTTTTAAGGACTTTCAGTATACCAGGTATAACAAGCCGGTTCCTCACTATACTTCCTTTAACCTATTTTATCACTCGAAATCCCCATACAAGTTGAATCAAAAAATACCACCATCCTTTCGGCTTTTCGTGTATTCTTCTCACTTATTTGCTCGTCTCACCACCTCCAAGTAACCAGCTTTTATAATAATTCTTTTCAAAGAATTTTCGGCATAAAAACTTGTACTACAGCATTCCATGGGATATCCACGAAAAAACAACACGTCTGGTGAATAATGGCATCGCAAGTATTTCGCAATCAGAGACGGAAACCGTGGACGCTGGGCGGCTGAATGCTACCAAAACACAAAAAAAAAAGAATAAAAACTCCTGTTCCTTTTTGGACTTGATTGTGGGCATTTTGTGCGGTGGCCCAAAGATACACTTGGCCGAGCGACAAGGCACACACTCAAATCGAGCTGTCAAGCGCGCAGTCAAATCTCACCGGCACACCCGCCCGGCACCTAGCTTGAACCGCACTTACTACGCCAACAAGCAGGTAGTGACCGTGCATAAGGCGGTAGGAAGTTTCGGCAAAACAGGGCCGCCTAAACATATGCTCGCATACGCTTCTGGAGATCGTCAACTGCTCGCGGTCGCAGAGAAGCCGCCTAAGTGCACATTTCTCGGTAATGCAAATAATCGTATGCACATAACTAGTGTGTATGTATGTATGGGTTAATGTGAGTACCTGTAGGCGACACGTTGTGCTAGTGCGGGATTACTTTTGTCCACATACAAACATTAATATGTAGGTGTTTGTGTGTGTCAAAATGCTTATGATTCTTTTTTATTAGCTTACTCCTTCGATTTATGCTCTTATTTATGTTATACATATGCGCACTCGGCATAGGAGTCAAACCGAAAGAGCGGTGGTGCAGAGCGGAGTGTCGGGTAGACACATGATCGCCTCGTTTGCGGTGTTATTGTTGTTCTTGTTATATTTTGTTTTGTTTGCATGTCGTTAAACATTTTTTCGTGCATTTGCCGGCGTTCATTGATGAACCTTTTCAGGTACGTATGCGTTGTTTTTGACTTTTTTACATTTTAAAATTTTTGTTTCATACGATATTTGTTGTTATTGTTGCTGCTAAGCTGGATTCATGCGACCAACCGACCATCAATGGACATTAAATTACTCTTTCATTTCATTCGTTGCAACGCTCGCATGTGGGGTGTGACAACAGTTCGCTAAACGCTGGGAAATTTCGATACAGCCGAAAATTGCAAAGTGGTATGGTATCTATGTTATACTAAGGTCGCTTTCTATGAAACACTTTATCGTGGGTGGATTAAGATCCTTAAAGTTATTCGAATGTTTTCTTAAATATGTTATTGTGACAGATTAAAGCTATAATCTCTTCTATTTTATAATTTTTACAAAAATAAAAAATAAGTCCTTTTCTTGTGATTATACAAATCTATACATAAAAGTATATTATTTTCTTATCGATTATTACAAAATAATAGACAGGAGGTCACGAAAAATTGTGTACGTCCCGTAGGCAGGAAAAAAGAGGCGAAACCGTAAACGAGTATTATTGTTGAAAAGTTTAAGCCATTGAAATATTTAAACCTTTATGACTAATAAAGCATTTTGAAAACATATAATATTTCCTAATAAATATGGATGAACTAAATTGCCTTAGAGCTGTGTTATGTTCCATAACATAAAATAGAATTGATGGAAAATAAAGAAATAATGAAAAAAATATAAATAATAAATACATAAAAGAGATCAAAAACATGGGTTTTTATTAATTCTAAATTACTGTAAACTATTACGGTACCAGTGGCGATAATTTAAGAGCTATACCTTTAAAAATAACATACTAAGATTTTTAATCTCTTTCTTTAATCAGCTCCAGTGATTACTCGGAGCCAAATGATCCGATCACCATCAAAGATTTTGACTTGATCAAAATTAGAAGTTTTTTTAGAATTATGTCCACGGAGAAGGGTGGAATCCCCTGCAGCTGTGGAGAACCTTTTGTTTCAAAATATTTTTTGTTTTCCTTTTGCTGTATATTATTAAAATATGTGAAATTTGAAAAAGCTGCCAATATCAATTAGACATTTAACTAGATTAACAGTGTGCCTCCACTATTTTTGTCATACATTTCTATAAAAACCAAATGACAGCTATTTCATTGATCACTCTATTTGACTCTACATAAGAGTCTTAAAGTTAAATATATTACAACAATATTGAACTTCATATTCAAAAGCAAACCTAAGAACCCCAACCAGCAACTGAAATTGTGAGCAAACTTTAGTCAGTCTCCCCTTCAAACGGAATGCTTTAAAAAGTTGCATATTTTACTTGTTTATTCCCACACATACAATCATAAATATGTACTTGTATATACATATTTACGGATTCCTTGATGTGGTTTTTGTTAGGACTTTGATTGACGCGTACCAAAGTCAATACAATTTAAAGAACAGCAAAGTGTACGTAGGATTTGCATGTTTGCACTCTGCAACATTGTTGCAGTGAAATGTCTCATTATTGACATATGGACAACGGCATCATCGCCGAAATTGAACGATGTTCGGTGTCATTTTCATTATCACTATCTCAGCAAATATATTTTCCATGATTAATTGATAAATCGCAGTACTTAAAATATTCTGGTGTTGTCAGGCATGCAAAGAAAGATAAATACTTCCGAATATTAAGTGCAGTTCAAGCATATGCCAAATTAGATTAAATACTAACAGTATATACTTTATATAAGTAATTGCATAGAATTCCTTTGTGGTTTCAGGATCAAGACCTATTCAAGATGAATGGAATACTTGGTTGATTGGTTGAAATGGGGAGACGCAGGAGCGCCAGACCGCAAGCTTCCAAGTGGTAACCAATTAATTCTTATCCAGCAACTCAATGAATTTTATAAAATGCCTAAACACCTAATGTCTTTTAAGTTGGAACATGGTATATATTCCGTCATAACCGACTCAAGACTGGGCATGCGCAATTATCAGCCCATCATTCTCCACGGCTGCTCCGCATTTCGCCGATTCTACTTTACCAATTTTCCAAAGGTGGGATCTTATAGGTCAGTGCCCTGTGATAACCTCTACAACGTTAATTAGTTCCCTCTTGCCTAATAGTAGAAGCTTTTTGGTCTGTACAACATCAACAGTACCGAAATGAAATACTTAAACGTATAAATGACTTGGTAGGCCAAAGTACTATAGGTATGTATATTTATTTATGATTGAATTCATTTTTGAAATAGTTCGACGTAATATGTATTACATCCCAAGACTACCGTACTTTTAAATACATATCTTTTGTGCCAATACTCTGAATCTCTGTCTCTCTCTCTCTCTCTCTGTTGATTTAAAGAATCTCTTGGATTATACTCTAAGGAATCCGGTTTTCTTGAGAGGTAAAATATTTTTTTGTTACATTTGGAACAAAAACGGGTTCAATAGATTTTCAGATAAATCGATTAAAATTTTTGCTTTCGTTAAGTTTTTCGTTTCATTAAGTTCTTGGGTGATCCTTTCCAAATTAGTCTTTAAATTGTAGTGAATACGAATAATTATCAGTCACCCCTTTTCCTAAGCTAATATCACGAAATTTTTGTGGACGATCGTTTCTATTCTTTTTTTCGTTTTCTTTCAATACTTCAATGTAAGAAAAATTAATATAATTTCCTAACCGTTTTTAGGTATTTCACTTTTTGCCTGATATTCACGTTTAAAAGTGAAAAGGAAGCTACTGCAGAGTGAACACTCATCGCTAGGGAAACTCGATCAAATTTAAATGAATGAACGAAACTTAAAATATTGGGCAGATAAAGTAGTCTTTAAGTCTAGTCACTAATAATATGGAGCTACAGTACTGTCTGGTAGATAAGCTGATACTCGAGAATACTCAAGATTACCTCTCATTCTTTTCTAGTAAAACATCTGTGGAATCAAACAAATTGGGTATAGAGAGATCCTATCAAATACACAACAATTTGAATGTTATGAGAAGAGCATAAACAATATTAGCTTAATAACTAAAATAAGACCCCATCAGCAACATTTAATAACGTTGGGTTATTAGTCGAAACCACACAGTGAATTGCCATGAAGGCGCATAATAATTCCATATGGCAAACGCGTAGACCAATTTCAAAGAACTACTAGATATAACTAAATTGCATTAAATTGCAAATGCGATGCTTTGTTGCCTGCCAACGCTGCATATGCGCACATAGAGTCCCACATGTAAGTGGATATATAAAAATGGAAGTTGTATGCATTATCGCAATTACCCATACTTATGGTAGATGCATTGCAGATCGGTAATAGCTGGCACGACTTGCCGAACGTACCATCGTCCGTTGGGGGGCAAAATTGCAGCCATTCTACGTATCTCATGTCACAATCTAAGGTTCAAGAAACTTTGCCAGCCAGCAACTCTCCAAACAATTGACTTCTATGGAGACTTCTGCCATACAGCTTGCCTGAGCATCGAACGTTCCGATGGATGCTAGAAAAGCAACTCTAACTAAGGAGTGCAACAAACCAAACAACCCGGCATTTGCTTCCTGCTATGCAACAAAACGATGACAGTGGAAGCTACAGCGGCAGCGACGGCACTGGATAGAGGCAGCTAGTTGGAGTTTCATGCAGCATCCCCGGAGTAGCAGCGGCGACGGCAGCGATGGCAATCGAGCAATTCGTAACGGACAAAACAACGACAAGTACAAGAATAAAGTGAGCAACGAGCAGGAGTACAAAGGGGAGGAGGTGAGCGCAAATGTGGTGTTGAATGCATCGCTAACACAAATGTAAGCTGCTGGCACCGACGTGTTGCATGTGTGTGTGCTGAAAAGAATAAAATAAAATCATAACGGGTGCCAGTAAGCAGGAATGCTGCAGAGGATGTCGCTGCTGTGTGCTGGCAGAGTCCACAGAGGGAGATTATAGATGTACAGGAGAAGTCGGTGGATAGGATCAGAGGCAAGTCTTACACACTGACTTGCATGAACTTGCATTTAAATGTCTTTGTGTGTGTGTTTGCGGATAGATAAAACGGCTGTAACAACAAACAATTCTTAGAGCGTGAAATGCACACCGTAATTCTTTCCAGGGAGCTCACAATAAACAGGCAGTCAAGGCAGGGCTTTTGGCACATAGGTATGTATGTGCTACTACAAGCTACGGCAAAACTCAACGTCACAATGTTGCATGCCACAAGTCACATAGGCGGTCCAATAAACTATTGAATCTTTAATAAAATAAAATAAAAAAACAAAAAAATAAAAAGTTAACTTCGGTTGCACCGAAGCTATAACACCCTTCATAAATACACAAGGTTCCTTTAAGAACTTGATTTCGACCGGTCAGTTTGAATGGCAGCTATCTGCTATACGACAGACGAACATGACTAAATTGACTCAAGTCTCGGACGTTTCCTTCTGAGTGTTACAAACTTTGTGGCAAACTTAATATATTCTGTTTAGGGTATAAATATATACATATAGACCAATAAATAAGTAACGAATGAAAATAATCGCTATATAAAACAATTTGCAGTGCTTTAACGAAGACCTTGCTGTCTCTATGTCACAACTTAAATTTTGGGTGTGGCACACACAGCGACCTGACGGTGGATTCTCTGCGCTCTGTCGAGGAATTTAACTAAATACTTAAACACAATATACCTTAACCAGTTTCTTCTTATGTTTATTTTTTGCGAGAATCCCCAATCGAACCCCAGCGACTACACCCCCATAAAGCCGCAATCAGCGCGCGTCCAGCATGAAATTAAAAATTTATGCGATTCCCACGCTAATGTGACGCGACGTGCCAATTGACCAATAACTCGTTTCGAACAAAAAAAAACAAAAACAAAAAAAAATATTTATGCTCGAAAAAGATTTCTTGTGCGCTCTCGCAGACACACGTAGCCCCGAAGGAAATGTTAAAAAGGCTCTACAAAACCACAAACAAAAAGCAACAAAAGCAAAAAATGAGAATTATAAGTACAAACCATTGGCGTGAATTCCAAATAAGAATTTCGCACCGTGGCGCAAAGTTTGCCAACCTGAAGCGTCGCTCGCCAGGCAACATTCCTCTGCTGCTACATTTGACAACATTAGCCATTTGATCTAAGCAAGGTCTAGCTGCAAATTGTAGCAAAATTTGCACTATGCTTATATGCTTGCTGTCAGTCTGTCCATCTGTCTCAGTTGTCAAATAAGACTTTTTCTTGTTGTTTGCCGTGCTTCAGCAAATATTCACAAACAGCTTCTCAAATAAATAAAACTAGCATGAAGTCGGCGTAATTTTTCAGTATTTGTAGTTATATATTGTTCACACTTTTGAAACCCGAGTACCACTAATGGAGCTGGAGTATTATTACCCAAAAAATTTTTGTTAAGACCAGTTCCGAATATTAATGATTAATAAACACAACACAAATTAGCCTCAATATGCCGGAGATGTGACCTTGAAAAAGTGTGGAAGCAACTCTTTAGTTTCTTTGCCAATCGTTCAATGCAGAATGCGTTAATCATTAGATCCTTTAAAGCAATCAAATTTCATCTACAATAGTCTGGCTATTTTTAATTCAGAGTTATTACACCCGGAAATAACGAATGGGCCTCGTGAATGTGCAATAAAAAATGGCAAAGTGCGCTTTGACTTTTTCAGCGCTATCTTCAAATACGTTTATAAACTTACAAACGTCTCTATTTAATAAGATTTTCACCGGTATCGGTACTTCATTATCAATTCCCTCAACAAACTTGTCTTATGGCATCTACTGATTCACGACACGTTCTCCAAGTGTATATTTCAACCTCGGACTCAGGATAAGATTGTCGAAAGGAATAAACAAGCTAAAAAGGAGGAATCGGAGTCCGAAATTGTCAAAGTTATAACATAAACATCAACTAAATCTTATTAATAGGATAGCTGAGCGACGACTTTGTTGACAAGCAGCACTTTCACGAGGTCTACTCGATATCTTTTTGATTTTTTTACGGCATCGCGATTATATCCTACTAACTTCAACTATAGATCAACCTTTCCACGATCTCAAAGTACTTGTGGAATATTTTACATCCCTCCACAGCCTCTTTCGATACAATTAATTAAAAGACTTTAATGAGTTTTTATTAATTTTTTAGCACTGAAGCAATTGCAACGGCAAAATTTCGAACAAACTATCCTAACAACTATTAAAAATAGCTAGATCAACTTTTTGCGTCGGAAAAAAGTTGTTGTCAAATGCCTTGAAAATTTTCGTATCTACAAGTATATAAAAAATGCATATCTCTAACGTGCGCTGGGTTTATAAATTTGAATCGAACTTACACTACCTTATCTTGATTGTTTGCCCTACTGGGGAATACCGGACACTCTGGTTTATGAATGGCTGAATAAAGTGAGCAAAGATTTTTTATGAATTAGAGCGTAAATTGTTTCGTAGAACTTTGATGAAACTGCTGGAATTTTACAATATTGAGAAAAGGGATATATACACACAGTGTTTATTCATATAAATTGTATGTAATTTAATAAGGAAAACTGTCTCACATTCACACAATAAATCATAACTGTAACACACGGAGATTACATAACACTTTACACCAAAGATGACTTTTTTGCTACGATTGGACCAAAACCAATTTTCTTCTTACTACAATAAATAATATGTTTCTCCATAAGCCAAATTTCAAAATTCCAAAATTCCAATGCCTACTTTTCGATTTTGTAGTCTTATTTCGAAAAACGGGGAAATTACTATTTAACTTATGGCTCAAAATCCCGAAAAGCTGGTTCGGTCCAATAACCAAATAAGTATTGTGCAGTTTTGATTTTCCAGAGGTTGGTAAACATACTTGTGAATCCAAGTACCCAGGAATAATAATCTATGATCGATATAAAAATTCATGAAGGCATAGATGGGAGAAGAGCGGTATAAAAAAGTTGATCCTACACAATTTAAATAATCAAGATCTTAAATTAATTAAAAAAAAGATGTGTTGGAAATCATACTTACAAATATCACTTTGACTCACTTCGAAGGCCAAAGGGAAAACTATTAAGAGAACAGACAAATCAGTATAAATATTTATTTTATATAATAAGTAGTACATATAAATGCATACTTTGACTGATGTTTTAAATTCAAAAGCAATTTAAATGCAATCTTCGATCATCATTGACATTTGTTGGGCAGGAATGCGTTCCATACCAACCCACTCTGCGGCCCGTCCATATGTGTAGGTAGGAGAAAAAGTGTATTAACCTACAAATCAGTATCCTTGAATGGATTTCAAGAGGAAATAAATCTTGCGTCAATTTATTTAACACTTTTTTGCTTTGACATTTTCGTTTTACACGACGGCACAGCGCACTCGCTGCACTATCAACCAGCCCACTTGATTTAGTGGGAAAACTCATGCAATAAAATCTGTGCAACTAGTTTCAGCAACCAGTTTAAGGCAACAGAGCTGCAATGGCAAAAGCGACAGCAGCATCTCATCTAGGGCTATAAGTAAATGCAGAAATAGTTACAAGTGCAAGGACCTTTGGTGAGATTGTAAACAAGATATGAAAACTTGTATGGATGGCTACGTAGAAGTATATACATGCAGATATCTATATATATAGTTGTATATTGTTATAGATACGCTTTTATAAGAGCTTGCATATACTAGTGTATACGTATTTACCAACAATAGTATGTATTTTTTTGAACAATCGATCTGGCTTAGAATACTGAACATTTTCTGAGTTTTATCCGTTGCTTTATACTTGTAGCTATTTATGTACGTATTGCATTATGCGGTTTATCCAAAATAGCCAACTGTGTGTAATTAATATTGTTTTATGACATCTTAATTAACTTAATAATAAAATCATTATTTCAATTTATCTTTTGTTGTTATTGGTATGTAGATCTGCAAACATGAGTTGCGATCGACCCAAACTCTAAACACAAGCTTAGCATACAACCAGCTTGCTTATTCGGGCACATACCGCTTGAGTTGCGTTGGTCAGCTGTGTGCTTTAGCTATTTCCTGCCTGAGAACCAAATATCGATTGCCAATTCAATGATTATTCTACCTGGAAATGTTGCGCATTACGAATGCTGCACACGTGAGTTGACGTAACAACAAAATATTTTTTACATACGAACAAATGCTTCAAAACTCTTTAACCCATATATGTTTGGATGTATGCTTCCAAAGCTAGTCAAATCTTGGCTTATAAGCATCTAAGTATTTATGTAAATATCTATGTAAATATGTAGGTATTATTTGTTTATCTTATGTCTTCGCGTTGTTTCAATGTCAGATCAAAGCTAGAGCGCATGTAGAATGACGACTGTCCATCTAACGTGAACATGTCACAATTCTCTAGAACTTGAAATATTCACACATAAGCTCATTAGACTCGCATCCCGTCAAAGAGCATCCATACCGAGCGAGCCATGAAATTTGGTGAATCTTTTTAAGATGCCGGTCACAAATGCAGCATATACAAAGATCCATATAATATATATGCATGTATAAATAGGAGTACGTTTTAGTCTTTATACTGATACGTTATACGGATATATCTTTGTATATGCTGCATTTGTATATATATATATATATATGTAGTTATATATATTTTATATATAAGTATATGAATATTGGCATTAAAAGCTTTAGCGTATCCAATGACTTGGCGATTACCTGGCTTTAGTGAGAGATATTGACATTTGTGATTTTACGACTGAACCATTCGTATGCAGACGAACCAGTATTCACGTTTTTTATGCAAGTAGTTAGGTGCTATACGGTCAAGTTAAGTACCACTTTAATTAAAGATCAGACAAAGTCTGAGCTGAATTAGCACTATAAATATTCCAGCTGGGTTGCCGACTCCAACTAATACAAATATATTTATAAATATACAAAATAATGCTATTAAATATATTTATTTATGGCATAACATAATTGTTTTGAAATCACATAATAACGGTATGTAAAATATATAAATGGTGACCTAGTTTGTGACAAGCTTATTAATTAATAGCAGCCAGATGTTTTGTGATTCAAAAATAATGCGATAATCGCAAACTGAAAGTAACAGTAATGAAATATATACTATGGCTTATATATTTATGTATACAAATGTATTTCCTCAAATATATGTTGGTTCTTAATTCTAATTATTGTATTATGTACTCGTATTTAGCAACCTTTCGCTAATTGCATAATCTTTAGAATCGGGATCAGAT